AATTCCTATCAGACCTAAAGTGCCTGGAATGATTTGGGGAGGGGACTCCACCAACCAGGTTACAAAAGGTAAGAAACTTTTTTTTTTTTTTTATTGTTTTCTGGTGTGCTGTGTGACTGGGAACACATAACAAACATATAGGGGGGATTTCTGGACTTCGTCAGCAAAGGTGGAACTACATTTGAAGTCGGCACCTTTTTACATTGCATTATCTTCCTGCATGCAGTACCCAAGTCTTGCCACTAGATGTCAGTGTGCCCCTCCCTGTGTCCCGGCTGGAGACAGAGCATGGCAGGCTTACACATAATGTTTTTGCCCTCAGGGGCAGAATCTGGACCTAATTCAAACCCCCCCAGAGGTCAGATCAAGGGGCTGCTGGGGCTTGGCTTTCATCTTGCAGTATCTGCTCGCAGGGGTCTTCTAGTTAAGTGGCTAATGAGTTGGATCTGTGAGATGGCTTTGTGGGGGAAAATTATGGGCCTTTTATGTAATAAAAAACATTCGTCACTGTCTACATGAGGCCGTCATTTATCACTGATAGTAAAACACACGGCTATCTGTCACCTATTACAGAAGACGCGCAGCAGCCCCCTATCACTGACTGTAATACGCACCACTATCTGTCACTTATTACCCGACAGCTGTCAGTGATCCAGATATATTGTACTGTAATATGTTCAGCAGCTGAAACCAATCTAAACCTTAAGCTGAAGCCCTTTAATGGATGAGCAATGGCTCCAAGCCCTTCAACGGGTTCCCTCAGATGTCGATATCGCCTTCCTTGAGACTCGCGCAGTTGTTTTCTATTACATAGAGAGTATTGGGCTCCCCTAATTGTTCCTATTACATAGAGAGTATTGGGCTCCCCTAATTGTTCCTATTGCATAGCATTGGGTCCTCTCTTAGAAGTGCAGCTGCCTGTACCCCTGTGTTTCACCTAGAGCACCGGTGCCAGGGCCAATCAGTCAACATGTAGCTTGGCACCAGTGCTGTAGGTGAAACACAGGGGTACAGGCAGCCGCACTTCAGTGTTTCTGTGTCTGTACCTCTGTGTCTTCAAGTGCGCCCCTGTGCGCCCCTATGTCTCCAAGTGCGCCAAGTGCGCCCCTATGTCTCCAAGTGCGCCCCTATGTCTCCAAGTGCGCCCCTGTGTGAGTCTGTGT